AGAACACCCTACCCATGGCAGGAGGGAGTGAACAGAATGACCTATCTCACATCTCGGTATTTGCCAAATACCTTTGAAATCGCTCTTGAAATCAGGCAGTATTTAAATGAAAAATAAACATTTTATTCCACTAAACTACAAACTTAGGAAACCAGTTCTTAGGTTTGGTGAAGAGAACAAAGCATTGGCACACCTCCTTACAGCAGCTCTCTAAGACAGATTCTCAGAGTATCCTCTGGTTTTCACTCGGGCAAGAGTTGACATATCTGCAGCTTTTCAGCTCTGGGCCCCAAACAACATCCTTCCAGCATTGTTTTCCAAATGACAATCTCTTGAGTGGTACCAAGCCTCTCCATATTTGCTTCCCTTCCCTACATATGACTGCACCCTTCGGGATTTTCTGTAATCCAAAATCTTGATCGTCAATTGAACCATGATATTAAATTATGAGACTTCTATTCACGAGACAGTCTGATAAAGCATTTGCTGTTGACAGCGGGAAATTCTTCATGCAGGCAGCCCAAAGAAAATTGCCATCTCATTTATCAACAGACAGGTCATGTAAGTGGTGCAAATGTATCCCTTCCCCCACAAAACTGCGAAAAATGAGTTACATTACCTCTGAGTTTAGAAAGTGTAAGTCTTTAAATTTTCTAAAACATAGATTTTAGAAGTAGATATACAAACATTTTGGGATATATTATCAAGACAGATCATCAAGCAAACCATCTTTTTGTTGTCTGAATGTCAAGAGAAAGGAAAGTTGTATGATCTGTTCTTGCAAGCCCTCTCCTGCCACCTTTGCTCTTCAGCTAAAGCAAGGAAAGTGAAACCTGCTCTCAGCCTCAGTTTGCAAGTCCTCTGGCATGGGAGCATTCTCAGCCTCTGTCTCTGTTTTTCCAGTGCAGATGCTTGTTGGAGTAAAAGTGACTTAAAGTAGTGGCACTCCAACAAAATAACTTCAATAGAATTCATAGTTTTTGAAGATTTTGGATGGGCAATTGCATTTAGATAGAATCATTTAGGTTGGAAAAGACCTCTAAGATCAAGTCCAACTGTCCACTAAACCATGTCCCTAAGCGCCACATCTACACGTCTTTTAAATACTTCCAGGGATGGTGACTCAACCACTTCCCTGGGCAGCCTG